CAGGTTTTCTCTAATGAGGGGTTTGGGATTTCCTCTAACAGTGGAATCATACAGGATAAGTTAGCACCATGAATTTCTTAAATTAACTCATAAAATGTGGTTTTATGATGACGTTTGTAGTTTGAGGATCAAAAAAACAGCTTAGGCTTTCTCAGTACAGTTCATGTTGTACCAATCACCTGTAACCGCAGTAGATAAAAGAGCAGAGCTGTCAAGTAACTAAGTACAAATACTTTTTTACTTTACTTAAGTAGTAATTTTGGTTATTTATACTTTAGTGGAGTAATTATTTTTCAGCCAACTTTTTACTTCTACTTCTTACATTTTAATTCAATAATCTGTACTTTCTACTCCTTACTTTTTAAAAATGCCAAAATTATTTCATTTCTACTTAACTTTGACTTGTTTTTATTCCATCTTTTCGTTGTTCAGAAAAAAAAATTGAAATCTATCCAGAAACATGGAGCCCATTGATAGAATGTATTTAATTGTGATTGGATGAGAAGTGTAAATAAATACCATTCTGACATCCTATTGGATTGAACTCACTCCATCACACCTGTGTGATACAAATCACATCATATTCCAGCAGGACTGTAGCACGGTGATTCCCAACCAGGGGTACAAGTATCCCTTGTGCTACGCAAGCATATTACAGGGGTACGTGGAAAAATTCCCAGGTGCGCAAAAAATAAGTAAAAATAGCAATGCGGAAGTCACAGATTTGACACAAAATGGAATCAGAATAAAAAGCAGAATCTCACAGAATTTGCTCATTTGGGTGACTTTCTGATATATTTTGGATGGTACAATGTATTTTGGACGTTGCTGTTTCCTGCACCTGCCATTACTTTCAAGGCAACATTTTTATCTTTATCTTTAATCTTTCTTTGAAAATAATAAAATGCCTGAGAATCAAATGTTCTAGGGGGTTCAATAAATAACTTTCATTTTATAATCATTTGTTGTACATTATAAATTTGGAGAATCATCATTATGTTTGACTGAAGGGGTACTAGTGGTATTACAAAATGGCTTGGGGTAAACAAGTCTGAAAAGGTTGGGAACCACTGCGGTAGAAGATGTAGCCTAGAATGAAGATGATCGTGGCTGAAACAAGTAGTCTAGACTAGCTATCCTGGCCCTTGCCTTCCTACGCAGTTCTGCTCAATTCTAGTTTCTCTTCACTGCTCCATCTGGGATTCCTCCCATAGACAAGGATTTCTTCAGGAGAATTTTACCTGGGCCAATCAGCAAACAGAATGTGGAGTTTGGAATGATGTCGATTTTCTGCACAGTGTCTGCTAGTTATTTTAGCATACGGCAGTGGAGGAAGTGAATGAAGCCAGTCTGTGTTGATAAGGCTTCCAAATTAAAATAAATTTGTCCGACAAAGCAGCAGCTCTCATTTACCGTCGTCTCATTCAGCTCTGTATTTCTCTCCTCTCAGTAGGGTTGTTTACAGCACATGCAATTTCCTGTTACCTTCTTAGCTTAGCCTCCTTCACAGCGACATACGTCGCGGCCAACCGATTCAATCATGTTAAACTTCAGCAGAGGCCACGCCTCCAGCAAGAAACACTTCTCTACAGCCGAGAGTCCAGACCCTTGTCCGAAGTGAAGTGAAGGACACGGGTCTGGTTTTTACCAGGCTGTCAATTAATTCCAAATTTTTCAACATTTTAATTTAACATTATACTCATTACTGAC